ACTGTACACACAGTTCTCTGCTCTTATAGAAGCAACAGTTTATTCGCAGAAAACAGTGAAATTCATATTTGTCATCATCTCCCAGTATGCAAGTTTGGGAGAAGTATATCTTTGGGTGACATTGTTCCAAAATGTTTGATTTAAAAGAATTGTTATTGCAATTGCTGACTTAGATTTTACTTAAAACTTTTTGTTAAATGAACACCAGGCATGGTCTTGTACACCAGCCTGGTCTAAAATGGGAGTTCATGTCAACTAAAACCAAACCAAACCAATCCAAACTAAACCAAAACTACCAAAAATGAAATTTGGCTTTGAATTGGCAAGGCTTGAGGGCACTTTGCCAACAGCCATCATGACCTCTAACTCCCTGGAGCTTTAAGCCAAAATACACTCTTCTGTAAGTTGTCTCGGTCATGGTGTCTTAACACAGCAGCAGCAGATACATGTGTCATGTACAGTAGCTCTTAGGTTCACATCTAGTTTCTTCGGATCTGTGCCAGCATGGAGGTGGGACTAAGCATGACTTTGCAGCAAAGCAAACCTATTTATTTCTTTATGACTTATGGACCTGGTCGTTAGTTCCATATTATGGTTCCTTTCAAGTTGTCTTTATGCAAGGTAGTCGTTAAAGCTTCCCTTTCCATAAGAGCGCAGAATTAGTTGTCATTTAACTTGCCTAATAAAATGTCTTTGTACCTTGGCTGGGAAAAAACTAACGGAATGTCTGCAGGCCTATTTCTGGACTCTTGTTTTGTTTCATTGGTCTTTTTCTCTAGTAGTCTTATGCCACCATAGTTTAATTATTGTGGCTTAATGGTGACTATCTCTTTAACAAGAAGCTTTCAGCTGGGGGATGGAGGAACAGGTCAGTGGCCAAGAGTAATTGCTGTTCTTCTTCCAGAGAACCCAGATTCAGTTCCTAGCACCCAAATTGCTATGGGTGCCATGGAATACCGCATACATGCAGTACATTTACATACATACAGGCAAAACACACATATAAACTAAAAAAAATTTTAAAGATTGTTACAGATATACTAAATCTTTTTTAATGCTATACATGTTTGTAAACATAATTGTTTACTCAGTATCTACTTTACACAAACCATTATCATTATTTATATTATTTTTACTAGCTTTATGGTACAATTGACATAAAATAAATGGAATACAACATATTCACAACACACAGTAATAAGCCTTTACAAATTTATATACTTGTGGGAGCAATACCATAGTCAAGACAGTGAACGTATTCATTATTTCCACATAACCTGCCAATGTCTGTGAAAAAAATCCATGGGAGCTGATATAGTATTGAATCTATAGAGTAAGACACTGGAAAAATCGTTTTTATGTTGTCTAGTCTTGAATATGGTACACTAATTTCTTCAATATTTTCTCTCACTTAATAATCAGAGAAGTGCTATCAAAGTACCTATGTATATGTGAAGATGTTTTCAGTGCACACATAGGAAACAAAACCCAGCCAGCAACCTCTGTGTTCCTCATCTTGTTCCGGTCTTGATCACGGTTCCATAAGCTTCAGGAAATTTAAATTTTATTTCTATTTACACATTTGTGTGTAAGGCTATAGGCCATGTGCACGTAAGTGCATGGACTCTGTGGGACTGGAGCTACAGGTGGCTGTGATTGCCCTACACAGGGACTCAAATTCACTGAGTTCTCAGTCACCAACTAACCTCTCCAGCCCATTTCTCCTTGCCCTCTTCTGAAATGTCAGCATCTATTTTTAAGGCTTTACATGAATAGAATTCTGTGTGAATGTGTGTGCACGAGTGTGTGTGCATTAATGTATTTACCTACAGTCCTCAACATGTTTTTTATAATCCTACATTATCAATTACATTATCTTTGAGAACATTGATAATTTCAGTGTTGCTGTTCAAAAGTGTTTTTTTTTATAATCCCATTTTTTTTTTAAACGACACTTTGAAGACCTTTTCCATCAATGTTCTGGTTTAAGTAGGATTTCCTACTTACTCTACTTTAAAAAACAACTCACCTGCCCCAATAACTTTAGTCTTGTTCACCAAGTTAGTTCTGTAATGACTGGGAATCAAAATTTTAAATTTGTTTGAAAAAATTAGGGTCTTACTTTAGATACAGATTTATTTTTTTTGGATTATTATTTTTTATTTAGATTAGAAACATGCATGCTTTAAATGTTAATCCCAGCTCCCCCCTTGTCCCTCCACCAGTCCCCCAACCCCCCACCCAATCCCCACATCATTCCCCAGGGAGAGTGAGGCCCTCCATGCGGGGATCTCTAAAGTCTGTTATTTCATCCAAGGAAAAACCTAGGCCCTTCCTCATGTGTCCAGGTTTAGAGAGCATCCCTCTATTTGGAATGTGCTTCCAAAGCTCATTCATAAACCATGATGAACACTGATCTACTACCCACGGCCCCAGTGATTTCTGTGGCCTCCTCCCTGGCACTACATTTATGGAGTCTGGATCAGTCCCCTGTTAGCCTCTTAGCCATCAGTCTGGGATTCAAGAGCTTGCCCTTATCCGGTCAGCTGTCTTTATGGGTTTCATCATCATGGTCTTGACCCCTTTGCTCATCACTCCTCCATCTCTGTCACTGGGTTCCAGGGGGTCAGTCCAGTGTTTAGCTGTATCTGTTTCTGCTTCCATCAGTCACTGGATGAAGGTTCTAGGATGTCATATAAGGTAGTCATCAACCTTATCATCAGGTAGGGGTTATTAATGTAGTCTCTCCACTATTACTTAGTTTTCCAGTTGGTGTTATCCTCTGGAAATCTCACTAGTGTCAGCTCTCTCCTCAAAGCTATAATAACTCCAACTATTATGGTATCTCTCATCCTGGTCTCCTCTATTCTTACCCTGACTCAACTTTCCTGCTCCCCCACGTCTTCTTCTACTATTATAGATACAGCTTTATAATTTACTCCAAAAATTAAATTGTGAGTTATTTTCCATGCAACTATGCATTCGTCTATTTTTGTGGGTTTGTAGAAAAAGAGAAATTTACTTAATCTGATGTTGGTTTTTGTGATATCCTACTCTAATAAGTGCTATAAAGAATACTGTCATTTTCCCCCATGGCATCACTGAATTAGTGAAGGCTTATATCAAATAAGGGATGCAAATTGGATGTCTTCAGAGAATTGGAGATTACTTTCCTCCAAGAGACCTAAGTAGATGGTAAAATCACAAAATTTACTTGAAAATAAAACAAATGGATGATGGATGCTTTACCAACTCCATTTATTTAATGGCTTTCTAATACTCTTTCAAAATTTTGTCTGTTGAGATCACTAGTAACTTAACAAAACTCCAAAACATGATAGACAGCCCATTAGCTCCTGAGGCAGGAGGTAGACCTTTCAGTATGTGTAATTACTTCAAGAGGAATATGATATAATGGAAGCCTTTTGTGTATATGGGTATTTCTACACTAAACATGTAGATTATATCCTGGAAGCTAATATCACTCAAGAATCTTTCTGTGGAAGAACACATGCTGATCATGCCTTCTTCTAAAGCTTAGAAGAGGGGGCAAGTAGCCGCTCAATTTTGCTATCCTTAAACACAATATACGGGACAGGGTGTCTCTCATGCAAGAACACTTGCTTAAAGCTAATGCCCAACCTGGCCATTTCAGAAGGGGTGCCTAGGAGACAGGTGCTATGCCAGCTATGCCACTTATGTCTTTTTAAACAAACACTTGTTTTTCTCTTTAAAATAGCACAGTGACAAAAGTAAACTAAAATTACAGCATGAGGAAAGTGATGTGTCTGCTAAGTTCAGGCCAATGGCAAAGGACCCACATATTAACTTAGCTGGTCAGTGTGCCAGCCACCTCTGTTACTAGTGCTAACCTTGCCTTTGGAGAAGCATGCTGCTAAACAGTATGATATTCTAGGAAGCACCTTTCTAATACCAACTTTGTTGTATTCACAATCTGCCCAATAGTCAAACTAAGTTACTTTCCCTGTCATATTAGCTACAAACACACACACACAAACACAAAATCCTTGAATTTTTAAGTAGTTTCTATCTATTTGGAATGATGGAAAAAAAACCCCAAAAAACAAAACAAAAAAACCCTACAGCCTGTTTCCTATACAAAATTTGCATAGACAATCAATAATGTATCATTACTAACATAACTTTTGCTGTTAACAAAGCCCTTCTCCACAAAATACTCTTCTTAAATATTTAAAATCTGAGTAAAAATAGTATTTACCTGATGAGGAATGTCGCTTCTGTATGGTGTGAATGTATGTTTCTCCTATTGGTTGATGAATAAAGCTGTTTCCACCAATGGACAGGCAGGATATAGTCAGGCAGGAAGTATAGGTGGGGCTACCAGACTAAGAGAATGCTGGAAAAAGGAATGCAGTGAGTCTCACGGGGGAGACCCCATATAGCTACTGGGAAGATAAGATGCCTGGGCATTTTCCGGTAAGCCAAGACCACATGGAAATACATAGATTAACAGAAATGGGTTAATAATTAAAAGAGAGCTAGCCAATAAGAATCCTGAGCCATTGGTCAAACAGTTAATAATTAATATAAGCCTCTGTGTGTTTATTTGGTACTAAACAGCCGTGGGACCTGGAGGGACAGAAACTTCTGGGTACATCTATAGGATTCTTCATCAAGTGTAAGTAATGCCTGACTTACAGCATCCAGAGACAAGACAGGGTGTAACACTAGTAATGTTTCACTTTATACCTTCATTTGAATATATAAAAATAAAGTATGTATGTCCATAATATCTTTCCTAAGTCAATCTGTCACTGTTAATATATTTTAAAGTCTGCTAAGCAATTTCTCTAAGTTTGATTTTTTAATGTTCTATTCTTTGTATTACATAATCAGTTACTGGTTTCATTCAGACCATACTTCATCCATCTAACACTATCAAAGCAGTTCAACTGGATGTCTTGGCAGATTGATGCTGTGAAGTTTCACCATACAAGGAGATAAATCACACATAGCACTTGTTTTAGGAGAGGTAAAGTTTACTTAGACATCAGTAAAGACAACACCATTTCCATAGTCTACACAAATACAGTAATTTACAGCTGGTTTGGTACATGGCTCCATGTTAAAAACAGATCTAATGGGAAAAGAAATGGTTCATCCTATTTCTCTGCCATTTATCATAATCTAATAAGTACATCATTATGTTCTGGAAGGTGGCTGCATAGATTAGAATCCTAGGGCTGCTGGTCAACATACATCATTATATGACAAGAATAATAGAAAACAAATAGGTACAGATATACAATAAGCATGCAAATTAGGCTATTATTTTGAGGAAACAGGATAGACTTTAGTGAAAACTGAAAACTGTTGTTATTGCACCATCAGTACTGTATAACAGTACATATGGTATTTTACATGGGACAGGATTTCCTCCTCTTCAAATAATGCTTGGCAAACTGGATCAGGTCAATCCAATTTCTAGAGCAAATTTAAATTAAAATGAAAGAAAATGCCATTAGGTATCTTTCTAAGTATTCTAAATAATCATTAAAGTACTGAAATTTCATGTCTACTTGTTACCTCCAAAATTTAAACAGATTCATACTTTGTACCCTATCAGTCTGCACTACTGATGTAGCAGCACCTAGCCCCATGTGGAGCCTGAGGACAGGACACATAGCCAGAGTGGAGGGACAATGAGTGCAGACCACACTGAACTCTGAAGACTAATATAAAGAGAAAAAAAGGAGATAGGTAGCTCCTTAATTTTGTTATATTGATTAACAAATATTGAAATAGTATTTTAATAGATTAAGTTAAATAAGATATATTATTAAAGTTAATTACACTTCTTAAACATTGCTACTAGAAAGTTATAATTCTGTTTTGGCTCACATTACATTTCCATTGAATACCACAGCCATAAACAATACATAATTATGTTACTCTTAGAATTTACATTTAATCTTAGCCAAAAGTCCAAGTGATAATCTTAGAATTTAGCATAATTTAATCAGTCCGGGATACTAAATCCCAAAATATCACAAGTGTACTTTGAACATACCTTTTTTTTTTACAAAATTTATTCTTATTCCCCTCCAGGGTATACACTGTAACTGTAAAGTATTCACAAGAGGTTTAATCCTTTTAAAACTGTGGATTGCTATACATAGAGCTAAAGGAACTTAGAAGCAGACTGTTATAGTAGGGAAGTACTATCAGTGAAGACAGAGTCTCCAGGAAAATAGAGCTAGCCTAACTAATACTTAATGCCCAGGAACTGATGGTGCACCATGGAGCATGGTAATGTGTCCAATGTTAACTGCAGCCTTACTGAACACTTTTTAGAAAATCTACTAGCAATGCAAACTTAACACAGATGGTGACTTATAATAGTATAGTATCTGAGATCTTTCTCTTCAGTGAAAGTCCCTTAGTTTTATAATGTTAAACTAAGCCATTAACGAGCATACCAATAGAAATAGTCATTGCTGTACTTTTAAAGTCCTTCTCTTTGTTTTTGTAACAGTATATAAATATTTGGGGGTCCTTATAACACCTCATCTCTTATTTGTTTTCAGCTCACAAACAGTAATGTGACCTAGTATAGTGTACACTGCATTACTCTCCTAGAACAAAATACATAAAAAATAGAGCTGACTCCAGCCAGTGACACGATCATGCATCAGCAAACTCACTGGGAGGCAAAGCCATTTATACTTGCACTACACACACACTTCCTCACAGTTCAGGTAGGAATGTTTAGTTCAAAACTGTTTAAGTCTTTTGCATCAGGTCAACTCAGAACAGGTACTCAAACTACAATATCATTGATAAGATTTTTCTTCCTCATGTCAAACATATTCCCAGAAAATTTATGAAGTCACCATGCCCAACTTCCTATTTTATCATTATCACTTTTATGGCACCAGAGGGCAACTGAGAATTAGGGTGAAATCAAGAGTCTCTGCTGGAAAGTTCTGTATATACTAGTGCATGTGCAGGCTACAGAAGATGGCCACAGCTCCTTTAAGCACTCAGCTGCCAATATTTAAAGGCATTTATTACCTGTGTCTTGCACAACAAGCTACTGCTTAAACTTTTTATAACTCCCATTTTCATCCATGGTTCTATTAAAGAATGTTTTTATTATGTTTCTAACTGCAGCCTAAACAAACAAGTATAATAATTCATGTCATGTAATAGCATTTTTCAGTGTCCAACACAACACTCTACAGTTATAGTCTTCAGTGAAGAGATGGCAATGGTCTCCATGGTGAGAGCTGTTAAGTTTGATGCTAGAGTAATAGCTGACTAAGTACTCCATATCTGCACTCCACCTATACCACTTCCTTAACCAACAAAAAGCTGACTGCTTCAAATACATGACACTGGGTGTAGGAATAAATGAATGTTTCCAGGGGAGTGATGTGTGAGCTGACATTAGTATACTTCCCAGTGGCACATTAAAAAAACCAAACTCATATGTATTATCTATCACTTTATAAACATGAGCAGATACTGTTGTATGCTGCACAGTGCTTTGAGGAAGGTGAAATGAAATCTGACTCCTTAAAGAGATGGAAGAAAGCAGAATAACATTGTTTATAAATCACCAAACCCCTAATAAACAGTTCTCACAAATATTTAATAAGGCAAGTGGACACTTAGGTCAGTTGCCAACTTTGCTGGAGGAAGCTGTCAGTGAAGAAAATCACCTTAAATAAGAAACTTTGAGAAAATATAAAAATAAAAATTCAAGGGATAAAATATTTTGTAGAAAAAGATCATGTATGTTGATCTTTTTAGATGTATGTGCACACACATACATTCAGATACCTGGAAAGACCTCAACTCTGCTTGCAATGTTACATGATCTTGCCTTGTATATTTAAACTTGAGAATGTATTTTTTCTTACATTACTCTTTTATTAGTGTGCATTGATGGCTTGCCTTGCATGTATGTCTATGCATCAGATCCCCTGGAAATAGGGTTACAGACAGTTATAAACTGCCATGTGGGAATTGAACCCTGAACCTCTGGAAGAGCAACCAGTGCTCTTAACTTCTGAACCATCTTTCCAGCCCCGAGAATGTATTTTTCATACGAAATAGTATAGTACACCCAAAACTAAGAATGTGGACAACAATGAGAGAGATATGTTAATATCCTTCTCCAGTATTTATCAGTTCTGACTTGCTAGTTTTCCACAACATGCAAGGCATTATGTGATGTTCTGAACATGTCTGGGTCTTGTATCTCACACTTGCAGAGAAAAAAGAAGCCTTAAGAGGCAAAACAGCTGTCAATTTGGAAAACAACAGCAATTATTTACCTCAATATGATTTTTAAAGGCCGAGAATGTCAACTGAAACAGAATATAATCTTCTACACTTCCCCAAAATAGAACTATAATACAGAAATTCTTTTCATGAGTGACATTTATGATAACATTCACAACACAACTACAGGACAAGCAGCAAGACTGTGCGTATTAGCTTTTGCATATTTACGTTCAATAGCTAGCAATGTACTTAGAAAACTTTGCTTCTTCTTTTTGGCAATAGAATATAAAATTTTGTTCTAAATTTGTTGTTGAGGAACAACAATGGACTAATGAATGTCAGGGTTAGCTTTTTTGCTCTCACTGTTGTACAGGAAGCCCAAACCACATACAGTTAATACCCTTCGAAGCACACTGTTTCATGAGCAGATCTACTGAACTGCCTTGTATTTGTAAGCGAACAGTCTCTGGTTGTTCTGTAGTAACAGGGATGGTCTGAGAGGGTAAAGAAGTCAAAGTTGAGAGTCTGAGAATTCCTCTCACACTAAATCCACACAAGATACACTGGTTACTACATCAGTTATGAACACAACATAATTAGAGATATATTATTCAAGAATTGTCTGCAAAGTACTTTGTAATTTTTACTATAAAGAAAAATTACTTGCTATGATTAGATATGATGATCCTTACCTCCCATTCCACAGAGAAATACATAAAACTTGAAATTTCATCTTAGTATTTACCACTTTTCTTTTGGTATTAACAAGACCCAGTTTCCCCCTTTTATCTATCCTACCCCATGCCTGAATTTGGGGAGGGAAGTCTTCTGAATAAGGCAAAGGGTTACTTGGGACAACCACCTGCTCTGTGAGGTGTGCTGGGTGCCTTTCTCCTTTGAGGACAGGCTGCACAGACTTTATGTGTCTTTAATTGTGTACACACTGTCCTGTAATTATGATGCCCCCAAAACTCCTCAAAGGGAAAGGACGAATTCCAAGTCTCGGTATTCTTGGCATGGCACTCAAAAACTGCCAATTAATGAAACAGAAATCACAAGACCCTGTTTGAGTCAGTATCTCAATGCATCATAATGAGCTGTCTGATAAGATTTCTTTCCTGTTTACTAGCTAAACACAAGAGTTCAGTATAAAATAACCTTGTTCCCCACATCCATGTAAGAAAGGCACTCAAGTTAACATAGTTACTGTAGAGGAGACACTGTGTGACAGACACTGTGTGGAACTCCTGGGTGGCTTTGTCTTGCACACTGCTCCCATGAGACTGAGTTTGCTGAAGTTGTACCTCACATGCTTCTTTAATACGCAGGCGCTCATTACAGACAATGTGTGTTGGGGGCAGGGGGCATACATAGTGCTAGGGTTTGCAATTTTATTGCAAAAGATATGGTTTTTACAATGTTCAAAATTTTTAGAATAAAGCATTTAAAAAATTTAAAGTAAACCCAAGAATCTTTCTAGAAAAAAAAGAAGAATTTTACTGCTGAATTGTCCCTAACTTAGGGAGCCAATTGAGGTGTCTGTATGGTGGTGGGTTCACGCCTAAGTTACATTTGGCCTACGTCAGACAACACCTTGCTCTGTGTAAGAGAAAACTGCAAGACTGACAATTTGTAGCGAGTTCTACACATACACACCCAGCATGAACTGAGACTATCTGAACATTAGCTAAATGACAACGTCTATTACACACATGCTTTCTGCAGACTGCTGCACATAAACTCAAAAACTTGCTTCCACATTGCATGTTATGTAGCCCTTATTTGAAACTCTAAGTGGCTTTTGGTGATAATCTGTACACATTTAATTCTACGACTGATTTGATCTCAGCCTGATCCTCAGCACCGGCAAAAACAAAGGGAGAAGAATTAATGAAGCATCTAGCTTAAGCTAGAAATGTGCCACAGGAGTAAGAAATGTCTGGGCCCAGAGCTTCTATAGAAGTAATAGGGTAGAGTAATAGGTATAAAATCCTTGGGTTTAAAAATAATATCTCACACAGGTTCAAGGAGTACATAAAAGGTCCGCAGTTCACGTTGGGGATCGGGATGACTCATGAACAAATACAAATCAACAAGTCTCTAAATCCAAGCACCACTCCGGCTGTTCAAATGTATGCAAGATCTGCCCTTCAACATCATCTAGTGAAAAACAATATTCTCATCAAGTGGAGCTTATTGACTCTGAGAGTTTTTAGTGCAGACAAACGAACAGCTAAGGGAATTCTAGAGCTCCATCTCACGGCTGAGAGTTAACAAGTCTAAACAAGGTAAGGGAGACATCAAATCTCATTTAAATATTAAGGAAGCTAGTCCACATCACTCACTTATAACTCACTAACTTCTTGATCATTATTCCATCATTCACAATGAACCTTTCCCATCTTCAAAGAGTGAATTAGTTAACTTAATAAATAGCTATTAAGTCCTTATAATGTGCAAGGCGTATGGTATATCCTGGAAATACAATTACCAAAATACACAGGTGGAGTTGTGGTGAAAGCCACAGATCTTACCACTTCCGTGAGTCAAGTTTAGCATCCTGTGGGATGCTATAATGGCCTACTAGTTTTCCAGTAAAGATCAGACGCAATGTGTCAGTCTAAACTATCTTTTCTTTTAGCAACAACTTAGGTACAGAAGGCTATGACTAAAGAAGTCCCTCAGTTATATATATTATTTCTACTGCATTAGTTCATTTGGTCAAAGACACAGTAGCTTGCTAGAGAGGGTAAATGCCAAACACTTAGGGAAAACATATGGGGAAATCCTTAGTCCTGTGAATGAACTTTTGAAAATGCTAGTTTCAGAAATAATATAGCATACAAAAGCCACACACTAATAGAATCTTGTAAGATATCTGTATTTTTGCTACCTACTTCCTACTTTACTAGGAAGAAACCACGGTATATGGACTCCATGGCTTCAGGAAGAGATGGGCTGAGCCTTAGAAGACATAAGGTCAAAAACGACCAAGATGCTGAGTAGGAGATACAAAAAGGCATAGAACACTATAAAAATTTTATCTGGTGATCATACGGCATATCCTATGTTCATGTCCTGACACACTACATCAAATATAAGTCCTATTACTTGGGACACTAAAAAGGATGCTGGGATAACAGGTAACAGCGGGTGAAGACAGGATTCTGCAGCAGGAACTGCTGTGTCATTTCCACTTAATCTCAGAGGAGCTGGACATCAGGTAATGGTCTCCCTATAGAGATCCATATAGAACTTGAGGTATTTGATGATTCAAAATGCTTTGTATATAGAAGGCTGTGGAATTATGTTTGCAATGTTAAATGTTTTATTTTCTAAATACTATAAAACACTACACATAATTTGGCCCCAAGAGAGTAAGATCTAAGTACTGGGGTCAGTAGAAACTTTTTCTAGTTTCCTAAGTGCCTCACTCAGCTTAGCTGTCTGCCACCCAGCAAGACCATGAAGCCCTACTAAGTGTGCCAAACTCAAGTGCAAGTTCTCACTAGAGTGAGACGGGAGCAGTTTGCTTTTCCCCTGTCCCTCTACCTATGCTATATAGCACTAAGTTTGAAAGAGGAGAACATGCAAAACACGATGGCAGTGCTTATTTCTGCAATCATTGTTTACATTTTAACATATACAGGACAAGAGACAGCTTCCACCATTGTGCTAGCTTAGTTTCATGTCAATTTGACACAAGCTAGAGTCATCTAAGAAGAAAGCCTCAATTGAGAAAATGCCTCCATAAGACCGGAGGTAAACAACCCTACAGGGGATTTTCTTAATTAGTGATTGATGGGAGAGGGTCCAGATCAGCGTGAGTGGTGCCACTCCTTGGGCTGGTGGTCCTGGGTGCTATAAGAAAGCCAAATGAGCAAGCCATGGAGAGCAAGTCAGTGAGCAGCACTCCTCCATGGCCTCTGCATCAGCTCCTGCCTATAGTACCTGTCCTGCTTGAGTTCCTGCCCTGAATTCTTTCAGTGATGTATTATTTGCTACCTGGAAGTGCAGGTGATCTCTTTCCTCTCCAAGTGGCTTTTATTCATAGTGTTTCATGATAGCAACAGAAACCCTAACCAAGACAACCATTAAAAGGAAACATGAGAGGGCACCTCTTATTCATACTTCCTGTGTTTATATATAGGTATTAAATTCATTGACATAAGATAGATAATGGGTTCAGTGGGCATCCCTGAAAAAAAAAAGTAAGACATACAAGAAATAACCATGGACCAGTGCGTGATTAAAGGTATGGAATGGACTGAGAGAGAGAGAAGGGAAGCACAGCTCATCCGAAGGCGTGGATGTAGTAAGGGAGACGGAGACGGTGCATGACCCATTCCCACCCCGCTTCACCAACCTGAAAAACAGCCCTTGTTATTGAGATATAGCTATAGTGTGGACTTTGGTACTTATCCCTGATGAATTTAGTATCAAAGTGTTTTGTTTTATTTTAAAAGTAAAAATTTAACTAATGCTGAAAACTAGCCTTCCTCCCTGGGTTTTACCAGTAAACTTTGACTAGCTACTTGACAAAAACTTTGCAGTTTATCCAGTATAAGCTCAGTAACTTAAAAAAATTTTTTAAAAAAAGCTTTATAAGACTACATTTCTATGTAGATTTCTCCCACTTTTCATGAGTGATTTTAGAAGGAAAAAAAGTAGCAATAACTAAAAATGGCATTTCTGGGTTTTTTAAAAAAGAATTTATTTTATAAGGGCTGACTTACTGTTTTGGCATATACCAAATATGAGGTAAAAACAATCTATCAAAGCTAGTAATAAAAATAATTTTCCAGTACTACAATTACATAAACTCTTAAATTAGTTTAGTTTCTTTTAAATAATCATTTAAAAAATAGATTACATTGGAAGCATTTTTTTTTCTATATAAATTCTAACCTCTCCTGGCTTTGGTTCTCTTAGTTAGTAACTGGAGAACAAGCTTGAGAAAGAAGTGGCTTAGATTTTTACATATCCATCCATCTAGCCATTTTATTCTCAAAATTGCAATCAGATCAAGTCCTTCTGCACATGTATTAAAATTATTAGCTGAACTGTAACTTAAAATTTCAATTTTTAAAGAAACTCTTATGTAGCAACTGAACCGAGGTGAGAAAGGTATGTGAGCCAATCTCAAGAACCAAATGAGAAGCCCTAATATTGAAATATAAAGGGCAAGGAATCAAACAGAAAAAAAAATTAAGACTCACGGTTTAGCAAGAAGGAGCTATACAATTATTTTGTACCCAAAGGAATGCCGGTTCTTAACAAAATAAATAAAACAAAAGGTTTCTTAAGCTATAGATGAAGAATACATAGTTAGCCAGCCAGTTCATGCAACTATGGCATTGAGAAAGGAAAGCAATATTGCACTAAAAGGGGAATTCCTTAGGATGGATCCACCCTTCTTACTGACTCAAAGTCACCAGCCATTTCCTGTATGCATTGGCATACCTGGCTTGCTCTACATTCCGACAAGTGGATAATACTTGATTGATAAACCTGTGCTCCATCTCTAGGCCTAGAGAGTCTGGAGCTGGGGTCCGCTTCAGGCGCTTAGTTTCCTGGGAATAGCCTTGTTTGTTAGAGTCATTCAGTCCATCCACTTCCATTGCCTGAGATAGTTGGGGGCTTGCTGGAACCAGGTGCAAGTCATTCAAAGCGCCCCCAGAGCAGTCTGCAGGTGACAGGTGAGCCACGCTGGGCGGATACCTGCCATTTAAGTGATGCTGAAGGTAGAAAACATGACGCCTGTGATGGGGATGGGGCGAAAGAAATAACACTGTCACAAAAATCAAGATTTCCAGGCAAAAGAAGCTGATAATTTAAAAATACACAGCATTGGCTCATATGCAGTTCATAACACAGAGCTGTCTCGGGGAAGGAGGAAGGTGACTTGAAAGCTCAGGATTTCAACTCTCACCACTGGCTTGTGAGAAAACAGTATCACTCTAAAGACTTTCCGTTGAACATTCACTCAGATCACAGTGAGTTTGCTCTAATTCTAACATGAATTAGAAGCAGTAGAAGTTCAATATTCTCCATAAATAATTATATAAAATAAAATGCCACCTTCATTTAGAATATTAAAAGTGATTCAGAAACAAGGTACATTAAACAGTTCCTCCAGACCAGAGGAATATAGTCTCTATCTAGTCCTTTCTGAAGACAAGACACTTTCATTGCATCTTTCCTGCCCTCCCTCCCTCCCTCCCTCCCTCCCTTCCTCGCTGTGTGTATATGTACGGGTACAGAAGTCAGTTCTCTCATGCCATCAGGCTAGTTGGCAAGCGCCTTTACTCACTGAGCCATCCCACCAGTCCCTAGTCTTTAAAAATCTGAAGAGCACACCTGTGGAGTTGGTCTTATTTATGCTTTCTCTTAACCCTCCACTGTAGTCTTCCATATCAGTGTTTGGCAGAGGTAGGTATACCTCTCTAGCAAAGCACAAAAAAAAAATGGCCACTCCTGTTTTTAACCTAAGAGCAGCTGTCACCTGGAATTGCTTATTAAAATGAAAACTGCTCTGCATAATCCCCAAACAGTTTTCATGGTGCACACATCTGCTACACAAAGTGTGACATGACATATGAGGTTCTAAGTTGTATCTCATTGTTCATTCAAGTGCTAAGGCCCTAACATCAATACTTTAAGTCTCCTTGGCCTTGCTACCATGGTAAGGAGGTCAAAAGAGCAAGAGAGTCACTAACACAACAGCTGCATGTCCTGTCTTTCTTAAGAAGGCCTTGCTGTGAAGAGAAGACATCACTGTCTACTCATGAAGGTTCTAAAAAAGGAAAGATAATGTCTGCCTTCTTTCAAGTGTACCTAGTGTAGATTACAGCTAACAGGCCAGCTAAGCAGCCCATGAGAAAGACTAGACTGGAGAGAGGGATGGTAACTCGGAAACTCAGGAAACAAGAGATTTTACAGGCTAACGTTATCCTTGCCTAGCACAGACAAATCTTTTGTTTATAGACTGAATCCTGTGACATGAAGTAGAATTCTAACTTACAAAGACGGAGAAACTTAGAATACATAAAGATCCAAAATAAATGAAGCAAAGTGTAAACTTACCTGGTCTTCATTTCAGCATGAAGTTTATAATATCAAATGCACTCAAAACCTAGGTTAATAAAATTGATGGCCTTTCTGATTGTTATTATAATTAGGATAATTAATATGCAGGCCATTAAAAAGGGGAAAAGATAAAGCTTACCTAACATCCATGGTCTAATCATTAGTCTCAATTCTGACTACATCAAAATGATCTGGAAGGGTTTTACTTTTCTTAAAACACCCGGCAACATTCCATCCCTAATATGCTAATTGTCAGGATCTCCAACGAGTCATGACACATTTTTATGTTTTGTTTTGCTTCTATACTATTTTGGAAGTAACACAAGTCATTCTGTTGTGTACTTAAAGGTGAACCTAAACCACAGGCAAAGATGTGTGTGAGAAACCTCATATTAATGCTGACAATGGTGATGAGGGACGAAAGCCCTTCCTCAGTCACAAATGGAATATTCCATCGGTCCACAGATGGAGTATTTACATTCTCAGACAGAGGCCAGATATAACAGGCTCTGCAGTCTCATAAAGACACATCCAGTTAATCACAAGACATGGATTTTCTCTTCTCTTACCTATGACACCAAAGGGTTTCATGTCCTGGATAGGAATTAATAAGATCTGTGCAGAATTCCACTTCTTCTTCTAGGAGCTGGGTAAGATTTATCCTTGGCTCCTCTGTTGAAACTGTTGCTTCTTCATCTTTTGGCTCATTTTTCAAAGAGTTTTGCTGAAGTACAGAAGCGCCCATCGCAGTCTGGCTAATCAAAGACTTTAACAGAAACTGGCGATAGTGAAATCCACTGTGGTCTGAAACATGCATGGACGCCCAGTGTTTGGTAGACGAGAGCTCATCAAGAAGGACCTTGTAGGAAGAAAACGGGAAGTGAGAAGAGAATTACAAAGGCTTTCTTTCTCCATCCCCACCTCTGCTCTCTCTTTGACTCCCTGTCTTCCGTGTCACCAGTCTCTTGTATACAAAGTCCCACACGATGTCCTCTTAGAAGATGAATGCATGCTAGCCTCCCTCATTCCTTATAAAGTGAATAGGATTTTGTTTTTTGAGCACAGAGTTTAAGGACTTGTCATTCTTTCCCTTCACCTAACCACACTGTGAATGGTGAACAAATTTGAAATTAAAGAATTTTGGGGTATTTACTTAGAAGTAACACTACTGCCGAAGGGAAAATACACAACATAAATTCAGGTGATTTTGATTCTTATTATATTCACTACTTATTATCTGAATATGCACTATACTTTCAGTAAGAGACCCCAGCTGCATTTCCCAATAAATGACATGAAGGTAGAGACTATGCTATTTGTTTCCACTTCTTAACCCTAAAAGCTAAGCACAAACTAGGATTTCCCAGGGGCTCACAATTGTCACTCTTTGCCTCAAACTGAGGGTAATGAATGAATGAGATACAAATAGGTTCTAACGTATTTAAAACATGGTATTTCAAACTAATGAATCTCAAAAGGAATGCTGAAGGTTATAACATTTGTGAAGAAGCATTATTTGGCTGGTCATGAAACATGCCATCATAAACCTGACATATTCCATTAGGGTGTTGTTGGGGTTTTGTTTAGTTATGAGACAGAGCCTCATTCTGTAGCTTGGACTTCCTGGAACTCACTATGTAGCCCAGACTGACAGTGATTCTCCTGCTTCAGCTTCCTAAATGGTGGGAGGATGGGTGAGTCACCATGCCTGGCTTCTATAGAGGGTTTTCAGGCAAGCTAAAGAAAAGACTACATACTTGTGAGCAGAGAACAATGTAAACCAAATGACCTCTACTTGCTTCAAAGATTCCAGCAAATGCTTTTCCTATACTAGATCCTCTCCCCATGTCATCTCACACACCTTTCCTTTTTCAAAAGAAATCTTCCCTTTCTGAACCTCCACAGTAATTATACATTTTCACATAAAGAACTGTTGCGTGTGTCTTCATTATCATTAAATTGTAAGGATGTTTTATTTTTAATGTAACAACAAATTGGTACAGGATATTTATTCACCCTTAGTTGGTGTTTCCATTGTCTTCTGCTCGCTAACATCAATGAATGAGAAATTTAATGAAGGCAGGATTAAGATTACTAGCCTGGATGGACAAAGACAAAGTATATTATTTAAATGTTTTCATATCTCCTTCAAATTCTTTTTTTTTTTTTTTTTTTTTTTTTTTACGAGACAGGGTTTCTCTGTATTGTTTTGGAGGCTATCGGTCCAGCCCAGCCTCGAACTCACAGAGATCCGCCTGCCTCTGCTTCCCGAGTGTTGGGATTAAAGGCGTGCACCACCACCGCCCAGCAATTACTTTTAAGTGACTTTAAAACCAAGGGGAATGGCTTAAGTGTCAGGTACTGATAAAATGAAGCTTTTTTAGAATATACCTTAAGTGCCCTTATTCTCTTTCAACTTCCAATAAAAAAGTAAATAAGTAAACACAGTCACAGGGCTATGGAACAGAGGGGTTGACTGGCTCCAAATGAAATACTGAAAAAACACATGCCAACAGTCATATACATTTTCAATAACTTTACCCCTGGTTATACAAGTCCTGGCTAGGTTTTGTCAACATGATACAAACTTAACTCGTTTACGAAGAATGAACTTAATTCAGAAAATTCCTCAGTAAGACTGGGCTATAGACAAGTGGGGGTACTTGTCCTGACTACTGACTGGTGTGGGAGGGCCCATCCCATGGGAGGCAGTGCCACCTCTGGGCAGGTGAATCTGTATGGTACAGGTAAACAGGATGAGTAAGCTATGAGGAGCAAGCAAGCCAATCAGCAGTGTTCCTCCATGGCCTCTGCTTCAGTTCCTGCCTCCGGGTTTCTGCCTGAGTTCCTGTCCTGGCTTCACTTAGTGATAGTATAACCCAACCCTAACTAAGACAGTGGTAAAAATGACCATTATAAAACAGTACTATTATGGAGGGATAAAAGAGACACATCACACATTAACCCACTGGGAGATAACATCTGAACTGATTCTATTAAATCATAAGCACATTAGTAATGGCTAATCTTAGTGACAACTTAGCTGGATTTACAATCAACTCAGAAATACACTTCTGGGTATGCCTATGTAAGTATTTCCATAATGATTTAACTAAGAGCAGACCCATCGTGAATATGAGCAGAACCATCCCATGTGTTTAATCCCAGACCTAAGAAGAAAGAAAGCTGAAAAGTAGCATTCCTCGTTCTGCTTCCTGACTGAGGACACAATGTGGCCAGCTACCTCACATTCCTGCTGCCATGCTTTCTCCTCCATGATGGATTAAGTCCCTTCAAAACTGTGGGTCAAGCCAGACTGTGGTAGCACACACCTTTCATCTCTGTACTAGGGAGTCAGAGGCAGACAGATCTCTGAGTTTGAGGCCAGCCTGGTCTGCAAAGCTATACAGAGAAACCAAAATATTCCCCCCCAAAAACAAAAACAAAAAACCCCCTCCAAAACAAAAAACCACCTCCCCCCAAAACCAAAACTGTGCCAAGTCAAACCTCCTCCCACATGTCTCTTCTTGTCAGGTGTTTGGTCACAATAACAAGAAAAGTACCTGACAGCACTGGTACAGCCCAAAGCCTTCTGCAATAGCATCTTTTACTATCCCACAGTATTTATTTTATCACGAAGAGTGTCCAGCTCTTCCCTGTTTCTATTCACATTCTTTTTTTCTTTTTTTTTTTTTTTTTGGTTTTTACGAGACAGGGTTTCTCTGTATTGTTTTGGAGGCTATCGGTCCAGCCCGGCCTCGAACTCACAGAGATCCGCCTGCCTCTGCCTCCCGAGTGCTGGGATTAAAGGCGTGCGCCACCACCGCCCGGCTCTATTCACATTCTTATACACAACCATATGCATGCCCAATCATTTTTTTTCCGTGACAGGGTTTCTCTGTATTGCTTTGGAGCCTATCCTGAAACTAGCTCTGAAGACCAGGGTGGCCTCAAACTCAGAGAGATTAAAGGCGTGTGCTACCAACACCCAGCTCCTTGCCCAATCATTTATACAGGAGAAATGCTTACAAGTTTACTTGTTGGGACAAAGAGAACAACTTTATAAGATTGGTGACATATATTACAAAGTACCCTCTTAAAAGGTGGTACAATTTTATCTTTCTATTGGGGGTTCACTATTAAAGCCCATTTCCTAAACTTTTTATGCTACTTTAATCATTGCTAATTTATTAATATCTAAAAATGGTTTGTGTTTCACTATAAGGAAAGCTAAGAGCTTTATGTTTGGTTTTCCTTTGTTATTTCTTTATGAATAATCCACTTGTCTTGTTTTCTTCATTTATGAATTGCCCAATTTACTATCAGGAAGTCATCTATTTTTCTTATGAGCTTTTTAGAGATATTTATACATTAAGGAGATATTAATTCTCTACTATTATGATACATGCTGTAAACATTTTCTCAGTATATATATATTATAATTGATTTTTTCTTTTTTCTGGGTTAAATGAGGGCTAATTGATAAAAATGTATGCTCTTGTGATACACAATGTAATCACAGGCATGCATGCATGCCATTCACTGTGATATTACACAAACCTAGCTAATTAACACAGCCACCATGTCACAGACTTTTTTTGTGAGACTGTTTTAAAAATCCTCCTCAGCAAATTTTAGCTATATAATAAGATATTATTCTTTTAAAATATATTTATTTTTGTGTCTGAGTGTATGTATGCACACCATGTGGGCACCTTGTCCCTGGGAGGTCAGAAAAGTGTGTCAGAGCTCCAGGAACTGGTATGACAGGGAGTTGTGAGTCACCATGTAGGTGTTGGGAACCAAACTCCAGTCCTCTGCTAGAGCAGTGAGTGCTTATAACCAAGGAGCCAACGCTTCAGCCCCTACAAATGATATTATACTCTGGTCACTACATTGTGTGAGATCTTTGGAGCTTAGTCATTCTACATAACTGTAATTTTGTAACTATGACCAGCAACTCTTCCTTTAACCTTCCCTCAACTTTCCAACTGTCATTCTACTCTGCTCCCAATGAATTCAAACATTTTTAGATTCTACATAAAAGTGAAATCATATAAGATTTACATGGCTTATTTTACTGGCATCCTGCCCCTAGGTCTCTATTTTCTTCTCATATTTTAAAAATCCATTTACAATTCAGTTTACACATAAATAAAATATGAATTATTCTTTTAAAAGTCAATCCAACTTTTATTAGTCATTGCAAACTGAGCAAAGATTCTTCTGTTCTGTGGCATGCCATATTTAATGGTTACTAATGGAATCTTCACTTAATTATACATACTAGGATTTATTTCTAGAGTTTATTTTTATCATTACCTAGTCTACTTTTGAAAAAGTTCTGTTTTACTTAACATAGTTAAATATCAAATGGCACAGTGATTGTTTAATTTCTTAGCTATTTTCTAAGCTTTTCTAAACAACTTTAAAACCAAGCTTTGAAACTGAGAAATAAAACCAGTATTTTTGTATATTTAGAACTGTGTAGACTTTATTGCTAATTTCAAATGTTTTTACACACAATCCTGCAAAAAAGCCCTCTCTTACCATGGGGACTCACTTCCCGTTCCCTCCCTAGACTCAGGCACTCAAGAATAATCTTTGACCATCTGAACTTACTAAATCAGTGGAATGACATGGTATGATTTTGAAGCTGGTAACTTTTAATTATGTTTTGAGATTCATCTACATCACATAGCATTCCAGTATTTCATTCCATACTAAAGTCAACAGTCCATTTTATCAAGGTTTTCCTTGTCTCATATGATACACATTTGAGTTGTCAACAGTTTGGGGCTATGAACATTCTCACTCACAGGATTTAGTATGGACACGCCTCCAATTCCCCAGAAAGGGGCTGTGGGAGCACAAACAGACACCCTTTTCCTGCCAAGAATACAATCTACTGATTTTAACTATACCTAGTCCATCCCTATGTTTTCTCCCTTTCTCTTTTTTTTCTTAGGGGAATGTAAAGCTCATAGATCACATTCCTACCAGCCAAATTAAGGGCCCCTTCTCATATCCTCAGTGACATTCGCTACTATCTGTTACCATTCTAGTTGGTATGAAACAATGTTTCACTCACCGTGGTTATGATTTGCATCTCTCTCCTTTGTTAATGATGTCAAATGTCTTTTGTGTCTTATCAGACATTTCTACATCTCTATTTTTTTCAGTGACACGATAATCAACTTTTAATTGGCTAGAAATAATACATTTTGTTCATCTATATTAGTCTACTCCCCCACAAAATAATTACAATTTATAAAAGTATGTGTTTATTTATGCACAGAAACATAAAGCATCAGTTTCTATCCCATGGCACCATTAATCATCCATTCCTCTTTTCTTCAGACTAAAACATTATGTGCCTATTACTAAAAACACAAACAACCCAAACCATAACAACACTGTGTACACATGTACACCTGGTAGGCACTTCCTATGTCCCAAAGGATTAAACACCATTAATGCTTCATTAAACGCCAATGTATTAAAACTGTAAAGTCTACACTACATTTACTGATGCCAATAACCTACTATAAACATTTTTGTTTAAATAATCCAATAAAATATGATCTTTAGTAGACTACAATACTCTAACTTGTGATGGACTGTAATATTAATGAATCCCTCACTTCAGAGGGCAAGCCTTTCTAATTTTCATAATTATAAACACTTTCGTATATCAAACCTTCATAATTAATAGCCAGTGTTTACTGAGTATTATGTGAGAACACTGTAACAAACTGCTCTATGTGGATCCTTCTGCTCAATGTGGACCACTCACTGGACCACTCCACAGGACTGCTGTTGAGGAATTACCATCATACTCTATTCATAGAAAACGTGGGTTAGAGAGGCTGGGTAGCTTCCTTGAGGCTACACAGCAAATTGGTAGAATAGCTAGAATACAAATTAGGTCTGTATGATCACTGAGTTGCCCCTTTAGTTACCATACCATACATGTTGTCTCTACCACTGTTTCTTTAAGAGGAAGTCCATGAAAAGGAACTGCTATGACTCTACCTACTTTAAAATCTAAATGTGATCCTACTATAGCAACTTTTACAGAGCTCAGTTCAGTGTCATTCTCTCACCAGTACTGGCTCTCTAGCACTTTAAGATACTATTTTCAAGTTTCTACCCTTGAAATAATACTAGCCCATTTTATCTACATTGCTTTTAAAATGTTGTTGTTGTTATTACTATTATTATGCAGAACTAGTGCTTGAGGCTGGTGCTACACCACTCAGCTATCTCTTCTCTAACCTACTCACTTCTATTTTGAAATGAGATTTTACCAAGGTGCCCATTCATACTGTCTTTGAACTCGCTATGTAGTCCAGGCTGCATCCTGCATGTGTTCCTCCTGCCTGAGCTTCTGAGTAGCCGTGAATACAAGTGTGCACCATCACACTGAGACTAACATGCACTTCTAAGTTTGTTTACTACTTCTCAGAGACAAAGCACAGAGCATGTTCCAGCTGGGTCCAATGGCTTATAACATCAGAAAGAGGAGGATAAATGATAAAAATAAAAAAGCAGTCCATTTTACTGAAAACAGAAGAAGAGTAGTGCCGTGGAATCAGTCTGGGAAACACAGCAAGTCCTCCTAAGGGCAGCTCTAGATGTGGGCTCAGAAATAGATCTAGGCAGCTGAGTTAGAACTCATCAATAAGCTATACATGTAACATAAGATGGTCTCCAGTAACTTGGTATTTCACCTTGGTCCATGGCCTCTGACATTATGAGAATGCACCTTGAAAAGGTCCAGGACTAGCAGGAAAGTTTCCAATAACAGTTCTTCTCATTGGCCTTTCTGTCCCAAGTCTCCCCCAAGGCCCCGCCCCCAGCATTGTGCTAGAGAGCAGAGGGGAGGCGCTGCAGTACTGCATATCTCTGACAGCACACCACATGACCTGTAGGTCTCTAGACTCAGCAGCTGTTTCTAACGAACCATTTCCAGTGTTCCCAACTGGACCCAGAGCTCCCTAGAGCTCCAAGGGTTACCCTACTTTCTAACAGTGAGTAGAGCTCCAGTGGGTGAAGATCAAGATCTTAACTGCCATCCCAGTACCCAGCACAGCAGCTAGGAATGACATGACATTACTACAGTATTTCTCATGAATGAGCCTCACTGAGCCAATCAAGCACACTAGGCTGCTCATTTTACCAAACCCTTTAATTGGTGAAAGGACAGAGAAAGAAACCTGTATGGAAGAAGCCCAGTACTCTCATCACAGTAACTCAGGCCATTTTCACACTAGCCTCAAGACAGACGGTGGACTCCTTATTTTAAAAATAAAATCTCAAAGAATTACTTTCCATGTAGGGGTCAAATATGAATTCAGACTGTGACTCTAAGCCTCTGTTCTGCTGACTCCTTCGGGTACTTCCCTCCTGAAACTCACAGACATATGAACAGAAATGGAGAGGTCTACTCTTCTAAAAGGGTTGGCTTAACTTCCCTTGTAAGTGACAACCATATTTACCCTGGAAGACTTCTGACTAGGACACAAGGAGGAAAGGGGAACATAAAAAGAAGAAAGGACATTGCTGGTGAGTTAGTCACAGCTACAGGAAGCTCTCTGTGAATTTAAATCACCCCTGGGGCATGCTGACCCTCAACTGCACTTGCTAAGTGCCCAAACCCTGGGAAGCTTTTAGAACAGCATAATATATTCTTATGCTATTCTAACACCACAAACAGCAAAGGAAAAATGGAGATGGTTTTGTAACAGAAAAGGGAACATGGGGCTATCGGGCTATCACTCTGATGGATGAGAACTAAATACTCCAACTGACTCAACTATGGCAAAGTCTAAGCCTCAAAATTCTCTGGAAACCTCCCCTCCCCATTTCTAAAGAAAAAGGGAAAAGATAGGCAGTGAGAGCCACACTGAACCTACGTAAAAGACAGGCGGTGAGAAACATACTGAACCTATGTAAAAGAACTTATATGTAGATCCCACCATCACACTGATGTCATAGGTCTGCAGGGGCCTTGAGAATCCCAAGGTGAGTTACAGGCTCTGCCAAGTCTGTCCCTGCTCTCTCCTTTCCTTTCTGGGAGTGAAGGGTATAAAGAATGCCTGTTGGTTCAGCTCACTGACATGTGTCCAGAGATCACCATGAATAATTCTAATTTTAAGTAGTTTAATAATCTTAATGAGTTGTACTGACTTCCTATTTGGTTCTGCATGCCTTTGGTCTAGAAATGTATTTCCTTACCAATGTCCCAAGTTGCACCTGTAGGGAATGCAAACCCTTTTGTAATTATGAGGCTCCTCTGGAAACCACACGTGTCTTGATCCTCTGGGGCTGCTGGGGCATTACTTTCCAGGATAAATTACTACAGAAATTTAAAGGATGGGTGGGCAGTCTTAGCCATGGAGAAAGAATAACAGCTCTACCTTGAGATCCAGCTTGGCCACATTCTGCAAAACCCAGATGCGATGGGACCAGGCATTATAGTTGCTGGGATATCTTCCTGCTGCCTCACCGCAGACTTCCATCTCTTCCTGTATTATTCGCTGTGTCCTCTCTACAGGAACTGGTCCTAAATTTCCTTTGGCCACAGAAGAAGGCAAGGAAGTCTCCTGACTTAACTGCTGCAGCACCCAGCGCCTGTTAACACGGCATCGGGGAAGAGGAGGGAAAAACACAAGTGAGAAAGCAAAGCAATCCAGTCTCCTTGTTCTTAGTTTCCATGTACAGAGATGCACAATAATAGTTGTCTGTAGTGAGTTCATGTATGGGGACGCCAAGGTGGCTGCTGCTCCTATGCTCTGGAATACAATTCAACTTAGTACCATTAGCAGAAGGGACATGAAAATGATAGACAGGAAAGAGAAACCTCTCTACAACTTAAAGTCTGCCAAAAAGAGGTCATCAGCTCTAAAATGACAGCTTCTAAACTGTGCTTGGCAAGGGCGTACAGAGGGAGCCGGTCTATGTGCTTGTGTGTGGTGGGCTAGGCGCAGGGCTGACGGTGGGCTACGGCAGGAGGGAGCAGAAGCGAATCTTCGATTGTACGTGCATGCCTCACCCGCACTTGTCTGCAAGCAAAAAGCTTCATTTTGATAACTTCCACTAAGCAAAATTATGATATTACAGCATAAATTGTGGAAGGAAGCAAAAGACATTGGAGCACCAAGGTGTAAGATATCCTTAATCACAGATTCTCCTTTTGTCTATGTATAATTTGCATGCATTTCAACCAAAAGCAACAGGAAAGGTTTCTAACCAGTTCCAGTCCAAAGGTACAGAAAAATGAGTAGGAAAATTCATTTTATTTTTAAACAATGAAGTTTTGTAACAAAACACCTTTGTTTTAAAATTACAGACCCCCAATAACTGAGATACATATTTATTTAATAGTTTCCTTCTGGCATCAGCCCCGCCCTCTGCCAGCACATGGCTTTCTGGGGGCAAACCATGCCAATTTCCGGTATGAAGAAAATACAACTGACTGTGGTTTGCTACAGTCAACTTATAATGCTAGCCAAAGGCAAGGTTATGGTCATGCCTAGGAACCCAATGATGTTCATGACTGAGAAATGTTAGCGGCATAATGAAGACAAACTTCTGAGAGTAACTTCTCCATGACACCATGACAGCAGGCTACACCACTGAATTTTAGTCAAGTGAACAGAGTTACATGACATCTCAGAAAAGCACGCTTTCCAACAACAAGAATTTTCAGAGTCCTGCTTATATTCTGGCTGTCTCAGGTTCTCACCATAAAGATGGTCCTTGCATTACAGTTTTCCCTTAGCCCATATACCAATCATCTCAGTTACCTTTAGCTTCCTTTAAAATTTAATTTTTTAATCATCACAACCATCAGACCACCAAATTCCCTAGGAACACAAGCCCATGTATTATTATAGTTAAGTATCTAAATGCAATTTCCAAAGTTGCTACAGATGGGTTGAAAAACAGTCAACCTTATAGAGCAACTACTATGTGCAATGCACTATAGTAGGGTTTGCATAGGTGAGCTCAGCTATGAGACAAGTATAATTATTGTTCACGTTTTATGAATGTGAAAACTCAGACTTGGAAGGACTTGCTATCATGGACACTCAGGTAGCAAGTGATTATTTTAGAATCAACTATAAGTAATGTGACTTTAGAATTCAAATTCTGAACAAACACATAATGGTGTTTCATAAGCTGTGACCTTGAATACTGAACAGGGATACAAAACTACCTATCAATCACACCTGTGAATCCATGTCTCTGGACTTTTAGGAAACTTAGTTAAGGCCAATTTTCCCAGATGTAGATCCTTGATTGGACTTAAAGTGCCAGAAAGGATGAGCTCTTTCCTGTAACAAAAAGGAAAAAAAAAGTGTTAATTTTCAATTCAAGCATGTTGCTTTTAATAACAATTCAATGGTGAATCACCAAGGAATTATTAAAGAATGAACAACAAAATGAGAGGGGGAGGAAACAGTCATGTCAGGAAAGTGCTTGTTGTATAAGCATGGGAGTCTGAGTTTGACCCCCAGAACCCACATTAAAAAGCAGGCACCACAGCAGGTATCTATAGTCTTGGTGCTGGGGAGGGGAGAACTGCAATTGTGGGGCTTGAGGATGTGCATCTCGATATGCAAATCCCCAGGTCTTGTCCCAGATACACTAAACCAGAAAGTATGAACCATGTTATGGTTTAAAAACATTGCTACACTTTATTATCATCCTGGTTAGTTTTTTTTTTTTTTTTTTAAATCAACCTGGCAAAAGCTAGCTAGGATCATCTGGGAAAGGGTATCTCAACTGAGAAAAAGGTCACCATAAAATTGGCCCACGGACAAGTCTGTGGTGACTTTTTATTGGCTAATGACTGATATGGGGGTCCAGCCTACGGGGGCTGTGCTACCGTTGGTCCTGAGTGATAAAGTGAGTGGGCAGCCTGGAAGCAGGCCAGGAAGCAGTTCTTCCGCCTCTGCTGCTGCAGTTCCTGCCTCCAGGTCCTTCTTTGATCTTTTCCTGATCTCCCTCAGTGATGGTGTGTGACCTGAGACTTCTAAGCTGAAATAACCCCTTTCCTCCCTGAGTTGATAGTAGTCAACCATGGTTTGAACATAATAAACGAAGTGGCTCTGGGCATCTGATGCTGTAGGACAGGCGATGTGACTCCTTTGTCCAGTGTGTTCTGGCTCTCTACAGCGAACATCAAGAGCGGGTCTGAAGGCACAGGGGCCCTGCACATATCTTCCCAGGGAAAGAAGAAGAGACCGCGGGTTTGCATTTTGCTACTCAAGTCATTCCAGCTTCTGCTTTCAGAAGTTCTCCCAGTTGGCCCCTGTGCCCCTTCAACAGTTCCTACTGTATTTTATTTTTACAAGTTCTTTCTTTACATTCTTGCTCTCAGAGGAGCAGGATCATTTCAGATACTACTACCTTGGTCTTTGATTCAGTCATTTTTCCAGTGAGCCCAGTTCCTTCTACTATGGACCCAGCAGTTTCATGCAGTCCAATCAAATATCCTAATTTTACTCAAGTCTAGAGAGACTCAGGAGCATGCTCAGAGTAGCAGAGCCATCACTACTATTCAAAGACATCTCAAAAAACATCTACGACTGAAGTTACCAAAATTCTTAAAAATCCATTATAAACACAAAATCCAGTATAATGTGATCGATCTTGTTTAAAACAAACAGAAAGTTAAATGATTTAAGCCATCTCTGATGATAAATAATTATAATTTTATGGCTCTACCCTGTGGGAAAATTTAAATTAACTCAGAATATACAACAGACTTCACTTTTGCTTCTCATTCACTTTCTGCTTTCCTTTGAGAGAATTAGTTTTAGCCTAATGAATACCAGTTGATTTAAGTTCATATATACATTTGGGTCATGAAACTGAAAAAGGAACAAAACAAAACAAAAAACTCTTCAATAAAAATGGTTCTTGTCTGAATTAGTCAAATGTGATCCTTCTCCCAAGCCCTGAATGTCAGGCATTTTAAGTGGCTCTTATAGTACCACAGTGGTTATGGCCTTAGGTCCTTATCCCATAACCTACCTGTTAAGAGTACTCTTTCCTGCCAGCCTGATCCCACAGCCATGTCAGCCCCAAATGAATACTCAGATGTTATATTAATTATAAAGCTGTTGACCGATGACTAGTACTTCTTATTGGCTAGCTCTGTCTTAATCATTAACCCATTTTTAACAATCTATGTATTGCCACGAGGCTGTGGATTACCTGCTAATGCCTGGCATGGTGTCACTCCTCTGGCAGCATGGCAACTCTGCCTAGCAGGCTCACTCTGCCTATCTTTCCCAGAATCCTCCTCCTCTCCTAGTCCCATCTATATTCCTGCCTGGCCTGTTTTATTCATCAACCAATAAGAGAAACATATATAGAATAATATTGCCTATCACTCTGAATTCCAGTGAGGCTAAATTATCCATGCCTAGTGATCCAATTAGTCATAAAAAAATGCCTGTGATCTCCAAACAAGGGAAGAAAATACCACAGGCATCAAACAGTATATTATAACTCAGTAGGACAATCTGTATTTCAGGAAAAAAAATACTTAGAGAAAAGACAGTTATAAGGGGCACAGTGGTTAGACCATCATAGAGATATTAAAAGAATTTGTATAAGAAGCAAACTTAGGATGCTATGGGCAAATGGTTTCTAAGTAGCTATATAGAGTCATGGGGTTATATATCATCAGAAGTCTGGGCAAGCTTCACTTTACCACTGAAGAAAATGACATACCTCACATTCCATGCGGTGGTGAAGTCTGGGTTGAGAAGCAGCAGGGTGCAAGTGACATCTATCAATTCTAAAATAAAGAGAGCCATATCAAGAACACAGACCTGCCTGTCAAAGCCTTTCCTCGTCCATTCTCATTATAACTGTATCCAGGTTGTATTGATTTTAATGATAGGCACACTATTCTAAGACATCAGTGGAGTGACTGTTATCCTCAAGATTTTCTTCTATTTGTAATTTGTACAATTATTTTAAAAGTCAACAACTTTACAATATACCCATAAAGAATAATTCATCTTCCATTCTTTTAGTAGATCTAGCAGTAATCTAATTTGTACTAAGAAATAATTCTGAAATCACCATTCATTTAATTCTACCAATATCTCAAGCACTAAGTAAGACATTTTCAGAGGAAAGGAGAGAAAAATCATCCTTAATCCAATTTATGTTCTGCTGCAAAAAAATCCCTTTCTTCTACACATTTTACACAGTGATGGCAATGATAAAAGTCCAGTTATCGCTTTTAAAGACTTACTACTCTAATTTTTAGGATTAATTTCCTGAAAGAGAAGCACCATGGCAAAACAATCAGTGTGACTCCGACTGTGTTACAGCTTGTCCTCTAAATGGCCTGTGACTATCTTATACTTCCAAGAGTAATATGACTACTTTTGGTCCAATTCTAACCTACTATAATTATATTTTAAAACATCAATGTGATGGGTTAGAAAAAACAACACTCTACTATGTTTTATCTGACATGTTTATACCTTCAGTCATATGATCACTTTTTATTTTTATTTTCTATTTTCAGTTCATTGAGGATATTCTATTCATGTTCATTAGATATTTATTCTTCATGGTCTTAATAAAATGTTCATGGATACAAATGAATGCCATAAACCTGCTTTTAAAAGAAGTGAATTGATAGAATCTGGACATTTGCCTGTGAGTAAAACTGAAGAGAAGTTTAGAATTGCTATTGTCAATCTAGAGACACAGCCCTAAGGTAGGTAATGGCATCAGTGGTATTAAATACCAAGTGGGTATAATACAGAAATTGCCAACAGGCTTTATGTGGCACTGCTGGGAGCAGTACAATGCTAAGTTCTTCATTCCCATCAGTGCACTGCATTCTTACAGTCACGACCCAAGCCACTTCTGCTCAACTTTATAGCAGGAAAATGAAACTCAGAGAGTTTTGAAGATTATTTTTATTTTATGTATATGAATGCTTTGTCTATATTATGTTTGTGCACCACTTGTGTGCCTGGTGCCTGCAAAGGCTTGAAGAGGGCATTGGATGCCCTGGAACTGGAGTCACAGACAGTGGTAAGACACCATGTAGGAGCAGGGAGTCCTGTGGAAGCAGAAAGCAGCCTGTGCTCTTATCCACTGAGGCATCTCTTAGCCCTGAGATTCAGAGTTTGAACCAACTAGTATGAGACAAGGTTAATACCTGACTCTTTGGTCATATCAGTTATACTGCAATTGAAATGCCGGGTCTATGGAGATAAATGAGGCGTTTGGAGTACTTAGTACAAGATAAACTTCAAGCATACAGCAAACACATAAGTATTTCATGTATATACTTAACAAATGGCCCTGTATTCTATTATCACATGATCTTAATAAAAAGATTAGCATTTGTTCGGCACTTATGATTCTACTACTGATCACTTGGAGCATTCAAAAACTGAGAATCATGAACTGCACACCCTGACTTGTGACCCACATTTTCCCACTCTAAGTTCCTATGTACAAGCTTGCTGTGCATATAAAGGACAATCTAATTCATATCCTTTTTCTTTCTTTCATTTTTTAATAGTTTTTGGCACTAATTTAATATTTACCAAAGAAACTAATGCTCTATATTACTATTCACTTAATTCCAGAAATGTTCTAAGTATCAACAATGAGCAAAAATTAAACAGGCCAAGACCCGATCTTACCCTTCATAAGGTTTTCTTCTTGATGGAGAGGGCAAACAAAGGACATACACCACCCGGGGCCTTCAGAAGAAGCAATGACTAATTCTTACTAGTGTACCCATGGGGCCTAGGAGTGCAGTGGTAAAGGCCCTGCAGATGTCAGAGAGTGTGGGAAAGCCAAAGCAGTGTGATGTCATATACACTGTGCTCCGAGAGACTTTGGAGCACAGCACAACTCCAGCGCAAAGAAGCAATGCTGTTACACTGAAACTGGCTAAACCCTAGAAAACAGTCATCAGTGCCCCACCCCAGCATGCACTTACAGCACATGGGAAGGCTTACATGTGATAGGGAGGTTATGGAATTCTTTGATGTCAGCTACTGTTCTAAAAGTTGTAGCACTCCCTAAGTAAATTGGCTCTCAGTCCCTGTGATTCTTTCTCCAGTACAGAAAATGCACAATGAGAGTTACTTCTGTTGGTGCATTTAATGCAACTCTCCTCCCCTACTCTCTACAAGTGAGAGAGTAGCCTCTGGACAGTAGCGCAAGCAGAGCTAATGAACACACAAAATCAACGCTGGTCCCCACGCAGCAGGGAGAGGCTGTGGAAGAAGGATCATCATTGTGGAGCTTCCTTTGCTAGAGACAGCTGCTGTTAGGATCACAGCCCTGCTTCACCACTTACTGGGAGGTCTGGGCAAAACAAATATGTAAGTAAACTGCTTAATCTCATCACGCTTTAGTGTTTTCTCACTACAAATGAAGCTCACAACAGAGCTACCTCATAGAAGTGCTAAATGATTAAAAGCATGAAGTATCAGGGTATCTAACATACAGTGAACACTGAATTCTGAATGCTAATTTTCTTTATGAAGTCTGTATCTCCCACTCAGTTCCACAAGCACTACTAAGAGTGGATGCCGCCTTTAATCCCAGCACTCGGGAGGCAGAGGCAGGCGGATCTCTGTGAGTTCGAGGCCAGCCTGGTCTACCGAGCAAGTTCCAGGACAGGCTCCAAAACAATACAGAGAAACCCTGTCTTGAAAAAACCAAAAAAAAAAAAAAAAAAAAGAGTGGATGCCTTAGTAGGAAGTGAAGAAATCTGAGCTGAGCAAACCACTGTGCAGGATACCTAACAACATCTAAGAAGTTTGGCATTTAAAACACCAGTAGCCTTGACAGCCTTGACAGCCATCATACAACTAGGGTTTTCTCTGCTTCACACACTTCTCGTCTTTCCTGATTTAGAAGTCAAGTTCTGAGGCAAGAAGTGGGGAGAAAGCATAATGTAAGAAACAGGATAGGGCCAACCAAGACAGAATAATGAGGTTAGAAATGGAAGAGTCAGATCTGCAAGAAAATCCTGAGATCTCAGTCAGTACTCCCTTTCAGGGAGAAGAAAGGAAGGAATTTAACGTCAGACTGCTGATGCTCTGGCTTTTCAGGTCTATCTGAAGCAAAGCAGAAGCTAGCACACTTTTGGCAGATGCTTTGTCCTCTACAGGAAGGATGGACCAAGCTCTAAAGATAAACACGTGTCAGTAACAGCTGACTGTAATGACCTAACTCTCTAAATGTCACCAACTACAGACCAGTTCCTCTACAGCCTTCCCCAGAAGACATGAGCTGCTGAAGGTCCTGCAGACTCTTGGAATCAAATGGGTCTCTCTCAAGATACATAACACATGCCAGTAAATACATGCTCACTCTACACAATCCAATGTATGACCAACCCATCATCATCTCACAGGGAGAAAATTAATCTGGAAAAGAAAAGCGCATATGGACATGACTGAAGTCAGAGGTTAAACTAATACACTTTCTTTACTGCACTCCATTCTAGCAATAATCCAGGTTTTACAACTATTCTGACAGAGAATGGTTTCTGTGCATCTAAAGCTATATAAATTTAAGGTAATAAACTGGTTAACCTCCTTCCAAAATATCCTCAAGTACCATATGAGGAACAGCTTAAGGTAAAGCTATTTATTACAGTATACAGACCCTGCATGGGGACTAAGCTAAGAGTTCTTGCTAATCTGACAAGTGACACTTTAGCACTTAAGGGTACTGAGTAAGAGCCATAATCCTTGTTCTCAGTGACCCACAACCTAGTAGGAAAAATGTTTTAAGTAACAAACTACAATATACCATGGAGAGTGAGGACTATGAAAGTCACCCAAATAAAGGACTCCCACAGGTTGCAGAGATCTGCTGCTTCCTGAAGCAGACAGAAAGGCATCCTGGGGGATGACTGTGAATTCAGCTTGCTAATGTTGGCGACCGGGCTGATAATGAAAACACAAAAGCAAAATAAGGGAGTATCACACAATGAATTCAGAGAATGGGACAGTTTAGACTGTGGCTGGAATAAAGATTTCTATAAAAATAGAAATGAGTGTAGGATTCAAATGAAGTCACAAAGGCAGCAACACAACAATAATAAGTAGCAAGTGACACTATTCTCAGCGTCTGACTAGCATGAAGAGGTTACAATAAGCCAGCAGTCCTTTCCAGTTAAGAAACCTGTAGGTTACTGCTGCTATATAGAAACTTAAGACACAGGTAAACTGACTTTTCAAATAAGGATAGAAACTAAAATTTCCCATCCTGATTTTAAGCACTTATTCAACTAGTTAAGGGCAGTTTTTGAAATATATAAGCCAAATGAAATGGGTCTATAGATAAATATCAGCCTAGGGGTCAAGAACCTGCACTGATGCCAAATGTGGAGTAGCTGCAACGCTGGCAATCAGGCTTTAGAATAGAACAGAACAGATGGTTAAAGGCCTTGAATACCATCTAATGAATTTCAGTATTTCACTGGCTGAGAGAATCATGAAATAAGATATGAGCAGATACATGTATTTCAGAAAAGTACTTCTCAAAAGGCTTTTACATACTCATGAACGTATATGTAATAATAAAAAGAGGCCATCAAACTGGAGTAGGGGGTATGAGGAAATAGGAAGGAGATAACATGGGAGGAGAGGGAAGTGATAAAATTATATTAAATTTTTTGTTTTTTGTTTTTCAAGACAGGGTTTCTCTGCAGTTGGGCCTCAAACTCACAGAGATCCACCTGCCTCTGCCTCCCAAGTACTGGGATCAAAGGCGTGCACCATCATTGCCTGGCATATTTTAAATTTAAAAAAAAATTTTTGAGAGGAAACCAAATAAGATGTTGGAAGGTACTACTTGAAGTGATTGATTAGTGCCACGAAGGACATGAATAACAGAAGAGCCTGCAATAGGAACAATCATCATTAGCCCAACTGAGAAAAAGTCTAGCCAGAAAAAGAAATGCTGAATAAAAAATGAAGAAGGGTACGCTGAAATATATGTAGTGTTTAGATATATACAGAGCTGCCCATTCGGGGCTCTTAATGCTGTTTTTTTGGGGGGGGTTGTTTGGGTTTTTTGTTGTTGTTGTTCTTTTTGTTTTCTTGTTTTTTGTCTTTTTGAGACAGGGTTTCTCTGTGGCTTTGCAGCTATCCTGGAATTAGCCCTTGTAGACCAGGCCTGGTATGGAACTCACAGAGATCCGACTGCATCTGCCTCCCAGGTGCTAGGATTAAGGGCGTGTGCCACCACCACCCGGCTTCTTAATGCTGGCTAATTTTATGTCAATTTGACACTAGCTAGAGTCGTCTGGGAAAAGGGAATCTCAATTACGAAAAATGCTTCCATAAGATGTGCCTGTAGGAAAATCCGTAGTGAACTTTGCTAATAAGTAACTGACATAGGAGGAATCCACTCACTGTAGGCAGTGCCATCTCTGGGCAGGTGGCCCTGGGGTGTGTAAGAAAGCAGGCTATTAATATGAGTGGATGTGCTTAGCCTTACTGCAACATGATATGCCAGGTTTGGCTGATATCCCTGGCAGGCCTGCCCTTTTCTGAAGGGAAACAGAGGAGGGTTGATCTGGGGGAGAGGGGAGGTGGGGGGAAGGGAATGAAGGAGAGGAGGGAGGGTTTGGATGTAATAAATGAAAGGAAAAATAAAGAAGAGAGAAAGCAAGTAAGCAAGTAGGCTGAGGCAGCCAGAGAGCAAGCCAGTGAGCAGCACTCCCCGATGGCTCCGCTTCAGCTCCTGCCTGCAGGTTCCCGCCTTGACTTCCTTTGAGGATGAACTATGATGTGGAAGTGTAAGCAAATAAACCCTTTCCTCATGGTCTTGCTTCTGGTCATGGTGCTAATTACAGCGACAGAACCCGAAGACGGCTGTGCCATTCTTTCTTGCTTCCTTCCCTTTTTGCTTTTGTTTTGTTTTTTTTGGTAGGCCAATCAGCATGTTAATATCAGTCCTCTGCCAAAATAAGGTTATTACTATATCAGACTGTTAAAAAGTAATGCTCTCTAGCTAAACAAGACATCTTTCAAATATCTAAGAAACTTAGATCATTAATGAGCATGAGAGAGAAACCCAGGTTTTAAAAAAAAATCTGTTCTGATGATAAAAGTCACTGAGTTATGACTCTATTGCAGGGTTCTGGCCCAATCAAGTAGACACAGGAATACTTTAAATTATCAGCTTTCTACCCTTGGCATTTTGTACATACATAATTGTTTCTAGAAAAAAAAGTTTCAAAGAAATGGTATTTTCCTAAAAAATTTGAGATTTTCTTTTAGCAAGATTCAGCTACATTCTACATGTCTTGGTTCATAAATCTGGCACAATGTTTTCACATTAGCATTTTCAGACATCAAAGCACAATTTTCTTCTTTTACTGACAATACAACATATGACCTGAGGGTTAGGCACTGTACTGAACTACGCTCCCTTTCCTACCTAAGCCTTAGACTATCATAACTCTTATCTGGATGATCCAAGATAAAATCAAAACCTGCCCATATGTCAGGATAGTGTCCTGGGGGGGTCATCAAGATGGGAATCATTTAGCTGGGCAGTGGTGGCGCACGCCTTTAATCCCAGCACTCAGGAGGCAGAGGCAGGCGGATTTCTGTGAGTTAGAGGCTGGGCTGGACCGATAGCCTCCAAAACAATACAGAGAAACCCTGTCTCGTAAAAACCAAAAAAAAAAAAAAAAAAAAAAGATGGGAATCATTTGAACAAGATGGGCCTGCAGTCTGGTGCCCACAAGATAAGAAGCTGAAATGCACAGAAAGGTTTGATGGTCCCAGGGCAGAAGTAGGTTGAGTTCAGGTACACAGATGGGCAGTCTAGTGCTATGAGTAACTTGGACTTGATCTTTAAGAACGCTTACTATTTCTTCCCTGAGACAGTATTCTGCCCCACTAACGTTCTTTGGCTGAGTCACATGTCTGTATACCAGGATAAAAACAATACAGCCTCATTTGGCAAAATGTAACTTGGTGAAGTCCTAAGGCTCTCTGAAGCCTATGCCATGGTAACAGAATAAAAAAGGAGTTCTAACAAAAGTCAAATCTCTTTACATTTGAGTGTGCCCTAAACTCGAGTCATGCCATTAACATCACATCAGGGTTAAGCAGCACTTGTAAATTAGGAATACCTATCAGAGGACCAATCAAATGAAACAAACCACAGGGAAAACAGAGACCGCTTCTTACTAAAAACTCAGACTATGTCATGGTCCACACAGGAAAAAGTACTATTAACCCGTTCGGGCAGTCTTTTAAGGACAATACTGAGAAAAATTAAGGGAAAGCCCGTGAGCCATCTCTCCAGCCCCAGAAGCATGTATTTTTCACTTTTCTGCCCACAGTCCTCAGAGCGGCTTCTGGTAAGAGCAGCCCCTTAGTAATGACTACCAAACAGATGATGAAAATTGTTTAGAAAATAAGGTCTTACTGAAAACCAGCCTCCAGGAACACTGGCACTTCTGCAGATGCTGTTGCAGGAGGAAAGGGAAAGGGTTTCACAGAAGCAGAAGAGGACAAATCTTAGATGAGCGCTGCCCAGAAGTGAGGCCTGAGGTGAGCCTGAAGGCTTAGTAGGATTTGTGCAGCCAGAGCCTGATTTGAGGAAGGCTGGAAAGAGACCAGGTCGGATGGTTTGGGACTACCAGTGTCCTAAAGAGTTGACAGAAGAACAACGGAAGAATTAAAGGCCAAGATTTTCTTTTTCTTTCTTAGTTTTCACATTCTTATTTTGGCACTAAGATTCGGAAGGCCTGGTCTCAATTGGGGTTCAGTGAAACAGCACACTCATAACTACAGATGGGGGTGACACTGCAGCTACTAGAAGAGCCCCTTGCCTATCTCCTTTGAAATGCTATAGAAACAAGTTCAGAAGTCCACAAAATGCTAAGGGATCAGAAATCAAGTAGTTACAGGAACTAGAAGATAGAAAACTCTTTGGTGGTGCTCAAACTTCTTCTTAAGTATAGGATGCTATCCTTAAATAAAATCTTACAAATTACCTCAGCATATTAACACATAAATCTGCCCCGGCTGCAGCAGGTGGCTTGAATTTTATCTGAGACACTTCCATTATAATAACTGTGGTTACAAATGGGAACACTAACATCAAGGCTAAGGTATTCATGTGACAGAGGCTGAGCACCTGCTCAGGCAGTGCAGAGGAAGCAAAAACCAGAGTCCAGGAATGTTAACACCATCTCCCTTTCCCCCCACCTCTGCAAAACAGGGGCTCACCCCAGAGGAGGAGGAGGCAGGCTCATTCATACTCACCATCTTTGTTTAGCCATTGCTTTCTTGTTCTGTACAAAAGGAGCTTGTTGTGGACATATGGTAATAAGAACTTGACACACCAGCTCTCCACACCAAGTTTGTTCTCAACCAGGACTATGGGACTCCGGTTATATCTTGCTTCAGGGCATGGGATCAGGCCAATTTCATCTCTAAATATGCAAGACATAAAAAGAAATTGAAGATAATATTGACTTTTAATTTTTTTCTTAATTCCTCAAAGCATTTTAAAAGCCTCGTGTATTTATTTCTCTTAAGACTATACCTAAGAGGATGGTGGGGGTCCACACCTTTAATTTCACAGCACTCAGCAGAGGAAGGAAGATCTGAGTGTTCAAGGCCAGCCTGACTTGCAGAGTGAGATTCAGGATGGCCAGAGCTACATCGAGAAACCCAGTCATAATAAAACAAACAAGCAAACAAAAATAATAAAAAAAGGTTTAATTTTAGGCAGTTGTGGTGTCACATAACTTTAATCCCCATACTAGGAAGGCAGAGGCAGAGGCAGGTGGATCTCTGTGTAGTTCCAGGCCAGTCTGGTCTACAAAGGGAGTTCCAGGATAGCTAGGGTTACACAGAGATACCCTGTCTTCGATAGATCGATAGATATATAGATAGATATATAGATAGACAGACAGACAGACAGACAGACAGACAGGCAGGAATAAAACTAAGTTCATTTACTGGAGTTGTAACAACAAATCTTTTTTAGTGTAGTTGGCTGATAACAGTGGAAATGATACAGGGAAAACAGTACACTGCAATCCTCCTTGCTGGCAGGCGTGGAAATTCAGTTTATCTTTAGATGGCAATCTGAAGACACCTTTCAGCATTTTAAAGCACATACTCCAATCCTGCAGCTACCCTACTCTAAACACAAGACAGGAAACAAGCCACTTGTTTAACAGCAGAATGCAGGTAAAGGAAGTGCAGCTCAGCGGTGCAGTAATGATGCAGGTCTGCACGTACTGGCCTACCTGCCAAGAATACAGGGAGAAAGCAAAATGCACACAATGAAAAAGTCTTTTATATAATTTATCTAAAACATATATAGATACATAAAATTTTCCTTGGAAAGACATCAAGAATTTTTTTGAGAAGCAAAGGTAATGAACGAGGAAAAATTTTATTTTTATAGAATTATTCTATTTTTTAAGAATGTAAAACAATGTGTTTATATTTGTCTACTATAGTAATAAATATGGAACAGAAACAAATTATTAGTAAAGGCTAGCTTGTATGAAATTCTTACCTCATTTTCCCTCTATATATTCCTAAGTTTTTAAAAAAAATCACCTTTATGATAAAAATATCAAAATGCAAAATATATTTCAGAATGTGGTCATTCAATCTACCTTAAGTTGAAAATATGAACTAAAACAGAGACTTGATTACTAAACAATGTGTAAAATGTGACTTCACAGAGCAAATGAAACAAATAGTTGTAAAAAACTAACACATACCTTTCATGTGCAAAGGTGTTAAAATTCTTGCCTACACAATTTCTTAAATAGGATGTCTGCTACTTAATGAGTAAGGAGATCTCTATGAGAGGGGCTGGGGAGATGACTCAGAGGTTAAGAGTGACTTCTGATTCACAGAGGACATGAGTTCAGTTACCAGCAACCATGTTGGGATGTTCACTCTATGGGGGAGTCTAACACCTTCTTCTGACCTTGGCTCTAACAATAGAGAGCTGGAAAGATGGCTTGAATTAGAAGCATGAGGATGAGTTAGGATCCCCAGCACCCATGTACAAAGCCAGCTGTGGCCATACTTGCCTGAAATTCCAATGCTGTTGGGGACAAAGACAGGAGGGTTGCCAGGAATTCTGGCCAGTCATCCTAGCCAAAAATAAAGCGCTAGGTTCAGTGAGAGACCTTTTTTTTTACAAGAACAATCTGAAACATGATAGAACCAAATAACCAATGCAATTATCTGGCTTCTATGCTCTTGCATCCAAAACCACACATGTGTGTACCACATACACCACACACACACACTTTTTTTTAAAGCTATCTTTTAAAAAAGACTGTGTGTGGTGGTGTCCCAGGAAGCAGAAGGTACCAGATCTCTTGGAGTTGGAGTACAGGTGGTTGTGAGGCCACTGCATATGACATGGATGTTGGAAACTGAACTGTCTTCTGCAAGAGCAGCAAGCGCTTGTGACACTGAGCCATCTTTCTAGACCCACATCTCTTTTTCACACACACAAGAAAATAGGGCTGAAGACGCAGCTCAGTAGCTAGAGTGCTTGCCTAGCATTTTCAAAGTCCCAGGTTTGACCCCAAGCACCACCTAATCTGCTCTGATGGCACATGTCTGCAGTCTCTGTACTTGAAAGGCAGAGGTGGGTAGATTGATCTATGAGTTTGAGGCCAGCCTGGTCTATGAGTTCCCGGACAGCCAGGGCTACACAGAGAAACCCTGTCTGGGGAAAAGAGAGGAAGGGGGGGGGGGGGAGGCGAAAGCAGCATAAATGGAAGTTCAAAGTCACCTTGGGTTATATAGCAATGGGAACTACAGATGCTGCCTCCCCCTCCCCAGTCAAAATAAATTTAAAAAATAAACAAAAAGTTGATCTTCAGAATTAATGTGTGACATTGCCTTTTAAGTACCTACAATTCTTTTGCCAAGAAGACTGGTCTGATGGGTATTTTAAAAAGGGGCAAACCTGTTTAATTACAAATTATGAGAAAGCCTCTTTCTGTAAGTCACCACCACAAGTAAGAAGCACATATCTAAAATAGACCCACCCAGAAAAACCTCCAAACTGGATAGCTCAGAGACAACCCACTCTCTACTGATCACTTGCTAGTGACACAGGGATCTGTCAATAAACAAGGATAATAACAGTTCTTGCAAAGTATTTATCACTCCAGAAGACTTTGGGGCCTAAATACAATACGTTCAGTAGATTCATAGGTGCTCATATTTTTGTTGAACGTTATAAAAAATAACCTAAAAACAGAAAATAACTTGTTCAGTCTTCAATCCCAGCACTTGAGAGGCAAACGCAGGAGGATCTCTGCGAGTTCTAGGCCAGCCTGGCCTACACAATGCATTCCACGCCAGCAAGGGCTACACAGCCAGACCCTGTCTCAAAGAGACAAGCAGAAAACAAAACAAAACAAAAAACCCCTAAAATTAGCAAAACCAAATGAAAAGACTGTAAGCGTTTTGTCGGGATGGGTCAGGACAGGATGGAACAGGAGTGGGTCAGGTATTCTGGCACTCGGGAGTCACAGAATACTCAGTGTTACACAGCTCAGGTGGAAAGGTATCCTGGAGCTCGGGAGCCAAGGATACTGAGTGTTACACAGCTCAGATGTAAAGGTATCCTGGAGCTCGGGAGCCAAGGACCACCACAGGTTGCAGTAAGCTTGGCAGCTTACAGCCTTGCCTCAGAGAAAGGCTTCTCCGGTGTGTCAGCTCTGCTGGCAGGACAGGGTCTTTCAGCTGCGGATGTTCGCCTAGTGTAGCAGTTTTGCTCTGCAGGAGGTTTCTCCGGCGAAGTTGCTACAGTTCAGCTCTGCTCCTGGAGAGCTGAGAGCGGAGAGCAGGGAGCCGGGAGCAGAGTGTAACAACTCTGCTCTGCCAAGGAAGGTTTCCCTGGCAAGTGTTACAGCGCTGCTTGCTCTGCTCTGCTCTGCTCTGCCCAGGGTCGCCTCTGCTTGCTCTGCTCTGCTCTGCCCAGGGTGGCCTCTGCTTGCTTTGCTCTGGGTCGCCTCTGCTCTGTCGCCGCCGCAAAAGAAGATCTTCACCCGAAGCTCATCCAAAGGTGTTTATTGGAAGACAGCTGGACCAGCCAAGCTGAACATACACAGGGTTTATATAGGGATTCCTGGGGTTGGAGAAGTTTTTCCAGAGTAGGGATTGGTCCGATTTCAGTGCTGAGCTCAGATTGGCTAGAGCTCTGCTCCGGGATTGGTTACTTTTTTACACAGGATTAGGGTCAGATTTGGCTCTGGTTTCAGGGCCAAAGTGTGTTTCTTTCTCTGGTCCTTTTTAGCCTTTTGGCTCCAATTTTAGGGCCAGGGTACATTTCTTTCACTGACTCTGATTCCAGGGACAAAGTGTGTTCCTTTGGCACTGGTTTTAGGGTCAGGGTACATTTCTTTGGTTATGGTTGCAGGGCCAAAGTGTGTTTCTTTGGCTCTGCTCAGGGTGTGTTTCTTTGACTGGTCCCTTTTCCCTACATTCCATGCCAGCAAGGGCTACACAGCCAGACCCTGTCTCAAAGAGACAAGCAGAAAACAAAACAAAACAAAAAACCCCTAAAATTAGCAAAACCAAATGAAAAAACCAACTCCTCAATTTAATTACTCAAGAGATTGTGTTCTCTGAGATCTAATAACTACTTATAACACTTCAAGGAAACCCAGGAGCTAAAAACATGTTATAATAGCAAGAATAAAAGAATCCCAGCTTCCAGATATACTGTTTGACAGGAGGATTTTTAAACTTAAATTCACAATGTTAAAAAGAAGTTTTGCTCCCTATAGTTGTACTAGATATAAAATATTCAAGTACTAACTTGGAACCTAAATTATAGGACAAAGTCATCTGCAGAATTAAAAAAGCATTCTACTGTGACTGGCTACCCCTCCAAGAAACAAAGGGCCTTGGGGACAGCAGTGCTCAGTAACTGCATTTGAATGGATGGTCATCCTTGCTCCTCAGTGACATTTCCACTGCTTTCAAAGGTTATTCCAGGAGAATATTATCTCTGCTCTTTGTAATACACTGTGCTGAGAACAGCACAGGTCATTTAACAGGCAACTTTAACCTCCACAGACCCCACTCTCCCCATCTGTAAAAGGATAGAACTCTATTTCATTTCCAGTAAAGAAAATGGGCTAGAGTGTACTCAGCTTTCAAATTTTATACAGTGACTTGACACCTTTTCCTCTGTAAAGAGAATGAAAGGGTCATAAGGATGTAAACCTTTGAAGAACAAGAAAACAATGAAAAGACATGGTATTGTAGAGACAAAAGCTCTTGATACCTGCCTCTGACTAATTAGTCTCCCTTCTGCCACCAATGACCAGTGTGGCGTGTTGGGTTGTTCACCTCTGGGCTGTTCATCTGAAATATGGAAATGTAATATCTTCCCTGCTTGTTATGAAAACCAAAGATAAAGGTTATCAAT